TTTCTTTCTTTCTAACATTTTATTTATTTCTGAGAGAGAGAGAGAGAGAGAGAGAGAGAATAAGCAGGGGAGAGGGGCGCCTGGGTGGCTCAGTCGGTTAAGCGTCCAACTTCGGCTCAGGTCATGATCTCACGGTTCGTGGGATCGAGCCCCGTGTCAGGCTCTGTGCTGACAGCTAGCTCAGAGCCTGGAGCCTGCTTCTGATTCTGTATCTCCTTCTTTCTGACCCTCCCCTGCTCATGCTGTCTTTCTCTCTCTGTCTCTCAGAAATAACTAAAACATTAAAAAAAATAAAATATAAAAAAAAAGAATAAGCTGGGGAGGGTCAGAGAGAGAGGGAGGTACAGAATCTGAAACAGGCTCCAGGCTCTGAGCTGTCAGCACAGAGCCCGACGCGGGGCCCACGAACCGTGAGATCATGACCTGAGCCGAAGTCGGACACTCAACTGACTGAGCCACCCAGGTGTCCCATCCTTCTTTTCTTCTAAAGAACAATTCCAGGGGCGCCTGGGTGGCTTAGTCGGTTGAGCGTCCGACTTTCACTTAGGTCATGATCTCGCGGTTCGTGGGTTCGAGCCCCGCGTCGGGCTCTGTGCTGACTGCCAGCTCAGAGCCTGGAGCCTGTTTCAGAGTCTGTCACTCCCTCTCTCTCTGACCCTCCCCTGCTCACGCTGTCTCTCTCTCTCTCTCTCCTAGAAATAAATAAAACATTAAAAAAATTAAAAAAAAAAAGAACAATTCCATCACACAGAACATACTGTTTCCTAACTTGTTCTTCAGTTAATAGTATACCAAGGCTACATTTCCAAATCAATACATCTAAATCTACACAATTCTTTTTAACAGCCGTATAGTATTCCACAGTAAGGATATACCATTATTTATTCAACTATTCTCTATTGAATGCATTCAGATTTTTTTTAGAATGCATTAGATTGAACCATATAAAACTACCATATTTGTCAGCTTGGTTTGTTTTGTTCATTTTCCATTACAACGTTGTACTGAATATCTATGTACACACATCTCTAGAAATTTTGTTCTTTGGATAAATTCCAAGAGGTGGGATTCTATTTTAAAAGAGGTGTATATTGAAGGACACGTGAATGGCTCAGTCAGTTGAGTGCCCGGCTCTTGATTTTGTCTCAGGTCATGATCTCACGGGTTCCTGAGTTTGAGGCCCACAGAGAGCTCTGTGCTAGTGGTGCAGAGCCTGTTTGGGATTCTCCCCTCTCTGTCCCTCCACCTCTCATGCTCTCTTTCTCTCTCACACACAAAATCAACAAACAAACAAAAAATTTTTAAAGGGTGTGTATAATGGGCCACCTGGTTGGTTCAGTGAGCTAAGCATTGACTCGATTTGGGTTTGGGTCACAATCTCGTGGTCCTGAGATGAAGCCCTGGTGCAGGCTCCTGGCCTGGTGGGAAGCCTGTTTAAGAGTCTCTCTTCCTCTCTCTCTGTCCCTCCCCCACGTGGGTCCACGCACCCCTGTCCCCCCACATAAGAAAACAAGAGTTGTGTATATTTTACTCCTAGATTGCCTTCCTAAAATGTGGGCATAATGTATGTTCCCATCAATGAGCTTTCTGGAAGTCATAAGCCACAGCGGCCTTGTTCCAGTGCTTCTCATAGCCGACTTCTCCACCATACCCCGTATCCGCCATCATTGTCCACACCTACCCTCGCCACAGCTCTTCAACCAGTTTCCGCCTGTGCCCTTCTGGTTTCTGTCTCTAGCTTCTCTTCTTCTATTCATTCCTCAATACTTGTATTCCACATGGATCTGCCCTGACTCATTTTTCTAGCCACAATGAATACTCCCTGCTCCCCCTCAGTAAGTTTACGGCTTCAGCTATAAAGCTATAATCTCTACCCTCAGCCCACCAGTGAGGTGGCCTAAAGTTGACTTCACCTGAATTAAGAAAATGCCTTCCCTTCCTGCAGACGTCTTACTGCCATCCTCCAGGAAATCGTGGTAGTAGCTATTCATTCGCTATTCAATATTCTACAGCACATTCCTAGATTGTGTAGTGTACAAACTCCATAATCATCACCGAACATAGCTGTATTTTCCACTCCTTTCCTGAGTCCAAACTTCTCCATCCAAACTGTGTACTGGATATCTCCAGCTGGAAGTTTTACAGCTGGGACCAATATAAAAGACCCATTGTTTAACTTATCATCTCTTCTGAAATCCTCCGTATGCATTTCTTTTCTTAGTAAATGAGGCTCTCATTCACTTGGGTGCATAACTTAGAAACCTGGAATTTCACCCTAGACTACTTCTCAACTTCTCTTTTTCTCTCAATTCACATCTGATAGGTTCCCAAGCCCTGTGGTTTCCACCCCATTATTCTCAAATCCATGATCTCTTCAATGCCCAGGGTTGCAATTCTGACCATCTCTTCCATAGGCTAAAAATAACTTCCTCCTTGGTCTTCCTAATTTTCACCCTGCCTCCCTTCTATTATCCACGTAATAGTGGATATCTATTATCCACTGCAGTCAGAGAAATTATTTAACATGTAAATAAATCAATCCTCTACCATGAGAAAAATGCTTTGAAGTCCACTGTCAACAGGTAAAATCTAAGACTCATCATGACTTAAACATCTATTCATGTATCCAATATCTACTTAGTGGTCTGCCTCATTTTTTGACATTCTCTAAAAGCACCCTATGCTTCAGCTATAGGGATCTACTTTCAAATCTCCAACATGCCAAGCTCTCTAATAATTCAGTGCCTCTGCACCTGCTACCCTTCTGCTTGGAATTCCTTGTCAGTCTTGTTGGCCTGACAAACTCCGACTTGAATTTCAAGCCTCAGCTCTAGGGTTATTTTCCTTTTTTAAAATGGTGCAGGCAGACGAACACTTCAGGCAGACCCTCGAGTTCCTTAATGATATGCGGCACATCTACACCATAGCAATTTCAACATTTTAATGATTTATCAGTTAGCGTTTCCAAACACAGTTGTAAGCTTCTGGATGGCAGGGGCCTTGATGAATCTCATCTTTGCAGCCCCAACACATAACACAGTGACTGGCATTGAATATTTGATAGGCATTTGAATGAATGCAAAAAATAAATTAGTTAAGTAGTGAGAATGATGTCCAGGCTAGGGTTTAACCCTAAGCTACGGAGATTTCTCACTGAAGTACCCTTTAAAAAATGGGCAAAAAAAACAGAAGAATAAATTAACAGAAATTTAAGAAATAAAAAGTAAAATAAATCTCATGTTACTTTACCATCCTAGCACCTGTTTTAATGTACTTACTATTTAGTTTTGGTCTTTGTTCAAATATGTGGTAAATAAAAAATATATATTTATAATATATGCTTATGTTTATATTTTACCCATCTGTAATGAAAACGTAAGTGCACTTTCACATGGTTTTAAGTTTAACTAACTGTAAACATTTTCCAGCACTGTTGTGTGGTCGTCTGAACCATCACTTTTCATCACTGTACGATACTTCCTTTCCCTACTTATGTAGGGAACAGACTTATGTTGTACCCGGGGTTTCCTATTATAAGTAGGAATATAGCCAGGTTTTAGGGAACCTGAAACTTAGACAATTTTGAGAGATGTTTTCAGAAAAAGAGTACAAAAAACACCCTTACTTCCGCAAACTTTGTGAATGCCTTGTTAGGGCCCCTCCCGGGGTTTGGAAGGGGCCTGTGAAAGTGAAGCTTAATTGTCACTGAATTTAAGTGAAGGTTAATTTTCATCACGTTCACAGTTATCTACCTCCAATTATAAATGATCCTGCAATACGCATTTTGAGCATGTGATTTCCCCCCCTCTTCTATTTGTTCCAAGGATTCCAAGTTATTTTGACACCATTCACCTTGAAGTTGAGAAAGGAAATGATTATTTACTGAGCATGTATTATATATTTATTATTTATCAATATAGTGTATATTATTTAAATTTAAAAAAATTTTTATTTACTTGAGAGAAAGAGAGAGACAGAGAGAGAGAGAGAGAGACAGAGACAGAGAGAGAATGAGCGGCGGAGGGACAGAGAGAGAGGGAGACACAGAATCTGAAGCAAGCAGGCCCCGGGCTCTGAGCTGTCAGCACTGAGCCCAATGCAGTGCTTGAAGCCACAAACCGTGAAATTGTGACCTGAGCCGAAGCTGGATGCTTAACCAACTGGGCCACCCAGGCAGTCTAATATATTACTGAATTTAATCCTTACTACAAACCTGAAGGAGGCATCATCCTCATTGTACAGATGAGAAAACTGAGGTGCAGTGGGTTGTGTACATTGTGTACATCTTTGTGCCGTTAGTTGTATCTGTTGTAACTAGTAGGGTCTGGATCTATAACAACTAGTTATATAGTTGTAACTGGTAGGGTCTGGATCCAAAGCTCATGCTTTCTCTTCTCCACTACATCTTCTCTAGTGAGAAGCCTCACTAGCTTCTCAGGAATATACTTTCTAGGCTAGTGATGGAAAACCTGGTTCACAGTTATCTGTTCTGAGGAGGCCAGTAGGCAAAATCTGCAGTCTTGACATGGTTCTTGGAAGAAGGTAATTTAAATCGGTGGTAGCTAGACTTTCTCAGGTGAATCTCGGGGAAAGTGATTTGACGCAGTCTGCCCTCTGTCTGCTTACAGCCCTGCCTCACTTGGCTCAGCACGAATTTCTTGGAAGAAGCTCAGCACGAATTTCTTGGAAGAAGCAGTGTCTGGAGTTGAAAGACCTGGGCTGGGCTTGAATGACCTTGGGTAAGTCCTCGAACCCCTCATCTTCCTCCTCTGTGCAATGAAGATAATAAGTAACAAATCCTGCCTCACTCCAGGCTAGTTTTGAGTGTCCCAATTCGACAATGTGCGTGCAAACCCTTAGTGAACTTCAGTGTCACTGAGGTACACGACTAGCGTACGGCTTCGTCACAAAGTTTGCATCACTTCCCTTCCCTTCATCTTTCACGTAGACATTTGATCATTTCACATCATCCCGAGAAGAGGGAGGACAGTACAGTCAGATGGCTTGAGACACCATAGTCACCTTTTATTACAGTGTATTGTTGGAATTGTTCTATTTCATGGTTAGTTATTGCTGTTAACCTCTTCGTGGGTATATATGCATAGGGAAAAACACGGCACGAAGGGCTGGGGGCTATCCACGGTTTCAGGCATCCGCAGGAGGTCTTGCAGTTAACGGGGAATTTTTGTATTAGTAACGTTGTGGGAGTTCCTCGCTTGCTCCTCCCCCCCCCCCCCCCCAGGTAAGGGCCTGTGACAGCTGGACAGAATTCACCTGAGGGCTCCATTATGGTGAACTCCGGCTGGAGTTCCCTCAGCTGAACTTGTCACTTCTCTTCAGGGGTGGATGTCTGAGCCGTTACGCCAGCAGAGGCTGTGCAAAACCAGGCTGACATTCTGGTGAATCTTTTCTTCCTCAAGCTGCGAGCTGATCATTAAAAAAAAAAAAAAAAAAAAGCCAAACATTTACCTATAAACGCAATTTGTAAAACCCCAGGCACAGTCATTACCGATTGTCCCTTTGCTCTGTCTTAGGTGCTGACGCATCTATCTTGGAATTTCACCTGGCCGCTTAGAAATCTTTAGTCCTTGTGGGACCTACTTCTGGGGACGGTCTGTAACTCTGGAAAGCCACAAGCAAATGAAAATCTCTGCGTGGAGCTGGCGTTCGAACATCCTTCACCATACCCACGTTTAGAGCGGGTGTATGCGGCTTAAACCCATTTCCAAGCTCCCAAGCTCGAGCTCGCCCCCGGGTGCCGGACCCCGCGCGCCGGCTGCAGTCCGTCCCAGGCCCAGGGGCCGGGCAGCGGGGGGCCCGGACCGCCACCTGGCTCGGCCGGCGGCCGCCGCACAAAGAGCGGAGCAGGCGGCGGCCCGGCCGAGCGGCAGAAAGTAGTCCCGACCACGCCGGGCCGATGTTGTTCGACGTCGCTTCACGCCCTCCGCGGGGAGGGCCGCAGCGGCCGGCCCAGGAAAGAATCCCCTAGGAATGCGCCGGCGGGAGGCCTTTTCCCTCCAGCTCGCCTCCGCTCGCCTGGCACATCTCCCGGGGTCTCCGAGCAGAGGCCGCGCGCGCGGCCCCCCACCTTCTTCCGTGGCCGCAGGAGAGGCGGCGCCGAGGGAGGGGCTCCCCGCGCGCAGGGAGACCTTCGCGGCGACCCGGCGCGGCGGCGGGCCCGCGGTATCCCTGCGCCGCTGCGTGAGAGGAAGAGGCTGAATGAGGAACTGCGCGGGGGAAGCGGGGCGCCGGCGGAGGAGGCGGCGGGATGGAAGCAGACGCTGGCGTCGCGCGAGCCCCCGGCGGAGCGGCGCGGTAGAGAGGGCGGCGGCGGCGGCGGCGCGCGCGGAGCCGTGACGTGCGCCTTTCTTTCTTCTCTCCCTCTCCCTCTCCGGAAAGCCGGGAAGCATGAGCGTGCAGACCTGCCGCTGCGGCGGCCGCCCCGGCTCCTCGCCTCCCCCTTTTCTGGCCGCCCCTCGCCGGTGAGAGGAGAGACCGCGAGAAGGGAAGATGGGGGCCGTCCTGAGGAGCCTCCTGGCCTGCAGTTTCTGTGCGCTCCTGAGAGGTGGGAAAGGGAGGGGGGAGCGGGAAAGTTGGTGGGGTTTTGGGGGGGGTGGCCTTGTTTTGTGTGTGTGCGCGTCTGGGGGGAGGGGGAGGGAGGGAGGGAGGGAGGCGAAGGGGAAGAGGAGCCGGGAGAGGCCTGGTCGTGGGGAAGGAGAGGGAAAGGGGCCCGGGAGAAGGGGCTGTGCGCTGCGCCGGCCACGACGCGGACCCCTCGCCGGGGCTCCGGACCCTCCTCCGGGCTGCCCGTCTCGGTGAGCCCCCGGGGCTCCGTCCTGTCGCCCTGACTGCGGCTCCGTGCGTCCCCTTCTGCCGGGAGCCCTCCGGGGGAAGGCGCTTTGTACGGATTTTGGCTTTGAAAACGTTGGAGCCGCAGATGCGTCGGCGTTGCTCTTCGCCCTCGAAGCCCCTCGCCTTTTCTGTGTCTCTGAACGTGAACTTTCAGAGCCCTCTTGCTATTTTTCCAGGCCTTGTTACGGCTAGTAATTGGCCGCCGTCGGGGCTCTAACGATCCCGGGTGAGAGCACAGTTGGGAAGGGACTCCGAGGTCATAGGGCGAGCGTTTCAGCGCCGGGGATCTTCCGAGCTTGGCCCACAAGAAAATAGAAACGTTGCCCTTGTAACCCCTGGTATTCAGGACTTGCCCCTGTTTTCGGAGCCTGCGAGTGTACAGTTGGCACGAAGCAGAAGAGTCATCCTCGTGGGACGAGGAGCCCGTCCTGGGACCGAAGTTATCATTTGCTGCGCTCCCCCGGGGCACTGCTTGGCACTTCGGTAAAAACAAAACAAAAAAAAAAAAACCCAAGAAACAAACAAAAACCCCCCAAAACGGGGGCTCTCCTAGATCTTTTGCTCCGAGAATCGCATAAATTCGATGGCCCCGTGGTTTTTGGAATTGCCCTGGAAAGCTGTCACACACGCTGTGACTTTTATTTTGTGACAGTTCACTAAGGTTTTTGATTGGCCCGCAAGATTTCAGCAGCTCGTCTCAAACTTATCAGTGTGAAAGTGGTGATGAGTCTGGTGCTGTTGAGCGCTCTTACCAGCAGAGGAATTTACGTTCAGATCGTTGCAGTGGCTGTGGCTTTGGTTTTGTTAAAATTCTCACGTGCTCATGGTACATTCTTTTCAGGTGTAGGACCTCTTGAGTCCCTGGAGATGTTGAGCCCTTCATTTAACAAGCTAAACTTTTGTTAAGCCTCCAAAACTTGAAGTTTACAGGGCACCATAGTAACTCACGATCTGGTGCAGATGAGCCCAATATGCTGTGTGTGTATGTTTGTGTTGGATGAATACGATTGACCTTTTTTTGAGGGGGGGGGGGAAGGAATTTTTTTTCCGTAGTTACTCTTTTGCAGGATTATTACGTCTGCACGTTATATGTACTTATACTTAATAATTATGACTCACTGTCAGCATATTCCAAACTGTTTTCACATGTCACCCCAGAAAGAGAGTGCTCGCTTAATTTTCCTGGCAGGGAATTTAATGCAGTGTTGTGTACTTGAGAGGCTTACTAAGTTATGTGTATTCCATTATCGTATACTCTTTGCTGAAAGGGGATTTTGCTCTAGTTGTGAGAAACGTATTTGAAAATGTGCATATATTTTAAGACAGAAAGTTAGTAGTTAAATGTGAGAGTCAGCTGATTGGTTAAGGTCTTGGGGAAATTTAAGTCCATAACCTGGGATGCTTCTGGTTGCCCGGTTGTATTTCTTGGAGGGTAAGGGTGTGACGTAAATGCCATTGGTTTAACACCAACTTTGAGCCTCGAGTTGGGTTTGTTCCTCACTGGAGTTTAGAGAAATTGTACATGAAGTATTAACTAGAAGTTTGGTGTTATGTAACCAGGCCTCAAAGAGTTAATGGTTTAAACTGCCTCATTTCTACTAGCAAATTTCCTAAAGCAGACCTTGCGTCTTAATGTAGCATCATAATGGTATAAGGTGGTCTTTGAATTTAACAGCAGTACTGGACTGTGAGTACATATGATGTGAACTAAAATATAGTCTTTAGATGTGAAATGTTTTTATTCATATTTTAGATTCTCTTCTTTCCTTGATGATGTCATTCTCTGTTATAATGGTGGCATGAGTTAACCTTGGACTCTGAGGAGAAAAATGTGATTAACTTGTTGCTTTAAGATAATTGTTTTTCCTTAGAGGAGTTGTTAAGAGAAGTTAATATTGGGATGATGGAATGATGAGAGAGTTCAGGAGACCTTTTGTCCTGTAGCGCTGTTAAGTCAGTAGCTGAAAGCCAAGGAATAATGCCGTCATCATCTGGGTTGCATCCCTAACCCCTATCATCTGAGGACAAAGTGTCATGGAAAGATTTGGGGATTTCAGCACTGAAGTCTTGGGTTCAAAGTCCATGGTTTTCTATTTAATAACTTTATGGTTCTGGTCTAGTCAGTCAATTTCTTTGGGTCTGTTTCTTTACCTGTAAAATGTAGGCAGTAATACTGATCTAATTTGCATGTTAAACGCGCATATTGAGTGAAATGATGAATATCAGGTGATTTGCTAATTTTATTTTTTGTTATAATTTTTTATTGTGGACATATCCTCAAATGCCAGGAATTTAAGATCTAATTTGTGTAAGATTTACAAATTCTTATGCATAGAAGAGATCTTGATCTGGTCTAACTGCTTCCTTTGCAAGTGGGGATACTCAGAATCAAAGAGATTGTGATTTGATCAAGCTCCTACAGCTAATTAATGGTAGAGGGATGGTAAGGATTTATTGGTAGGATTTATTAATGATAAGGATTTGTTCATTCCTTTAGCAAATACATATGGGAATACCTGCCTACTCTATATCAGGCTCTGATGGTACAGTGGTGAGCAAAATAGCTATGTCCATGTTCTGATGGACCTCACAACTTCCGTTGCCATCCTTAGTGCTCTCTCAGTTCCATCCAGGTACTGATCAGAAAAGATTATATATCTGATTTTCTAGAGCAGATATCTTTATATGAATATAAATGTTAGAATACCATTGTGTGTATAATCGGTAAATACAATGTCCCAACTTATGTTGGGGAAGTTTTGTTGTTTCATAAAAATTTCTTGCTACTTAGTTTTTTAGAAAATATTATTAGTTTTGGTGAGATGGTGGTAAACACTGTACAAACAAGTCACTAGTGTTTTCTATCTTATATTTTGTAGAAGTGGTCCTTGGAAAAGCTTTTTCTTTAATAGCAAGTTTAACAAAATCTTGAGGAGGTAGAGTGAATTTTGGAGTGGGTATCAGGAGAATTAGGTTCTCTTTCTAAGTTTGCCATTAGCTAGCTGTGTTGTGACCTTGGATAAGTCATTTAATCTCTGTATACCTTATTTTCATTGGGTATACAGAGATGCATAATTCACCTGCACATGTTAAGATCTCTGAGGGAATGTGAAGAGACCAATTTTAATTTTAACTCATTATTTTCCAAGCTTGATAGTATTTTTTTCCATAAATCCTTTTAACATTCTGCTGAACCTTTGATCTAAGCAACACACCTGAAGAGAGCTAGACTGGATGACCTTTTGAGCATTAGGTTGATTGATTGATACCTTTTTGTAAAGTTTATTTTCAGAGAGAGAGAGAGAGAGAGAGCGAGCATACCTGAGCAGGGGAGGGGCAGAGAGAGAGGGAGAGAATCCCAAGCAGGATTTGCGCTGCCAGTGCAGTGCCCAGTGTGGGGCTTGAACCCACAGACCATGAGATCATGACCTGAGCTGAAGTCAAGAGATGACGCTTAACCAACTGAGCTGCCCAAGCACCCCTAATCTGACTGATACTCGATGATAATTTCATATAGTTAAATCTGATACTTTCATTCCTACTCACTTGGCTTTAGGTTTGCTCATCTGGCTAAGGAATAATTTGATTGGTTATGAGTAAGGTTTCAGCTCTTTGTTATTTGAGGCCTAACAGATTTTTCCCATAGGTTTGGTTTTTTAGAGACTTTTTTGTTTGCCCTTTTTTTTAAAGTTTGTTTATTTTGAGAGAGAGCATGCGCACGCATGCAGGCACAAACGGGAGGGGCGGAGAGAGAGAATCCCAAGTAGGCTCTGTGCTGTTAGTGCACAGCCCGATGTGGGGCTTGAACTCATGAACTGTGAGTTCATGACCTGAGCTGAAGTCCAGAGTTGGATGCTTAACCAGCTGAACCACCCAGGCGCCCCTGTTTTGCTTTAATTGGAGGTTTTTCCATTTGCTGTAGTGAAATCTTGTTTCTATATAGTTATATATGGTTTGGCTCTCAGAATAGACTCTTTTGAATATCAAAGAAGATTCTGTGGAGGGTATATAAATGAAAATATTTTATGTGAGCTTATAATTTGAGCAGATTGGAAAAATAAGTAACACAATAACCTAGTTAGGTCATTGGTAGATACTCTTGAAAATTTAATTTCATCACGGAAACTTCATTGCAAGGTTATACTCAGAGAAGATATAAAGAGGGGCAGGAAGATAGAGGCTTTGTGGATAAACCAAGTTCAGATATTCTGCTACTTTATGTAGCCTTGGACAAGTTACTTAGTTTTAGTTTCCTCTCCTGTTAAGTAGGAGTAAACACCTTATAAGATTTCTACGAGAAATGATGGGATATTTGCAGAGGGAGAGTATGGTGCACAGTCAGTAGTAGACTTTGAATAAATGGTTGCTGATATTAAGATGGCTAAAATAAAAGAAACATTAATTTTCAAGAAAGACTAGTAAAACATTTAAGTGCCAGGCACTGTTTGGGGAGTCAGTAATTTTAGGCCAGTGGTTTTTGAACTTTTTTGACTCTTTTGCAACTGATACAAAAACTGCATGAAATACCTTTATTTCTGATATTTTCTTCTTTAAGTTTTTATTTATTTTTTAAAATATTTTCTACCCCCAACATGGGACTCAGACTCGTGACCCCGAGATCAAGAGCGTGCTCTACTGTCTGAGCCAGCCAGGCGCCCCACTTCTGATTTATTTTATTTTATTAAAAAAATTTTTTTAAGGTTTTTATATAAT